ATGATGTTCACTTAAAAAATAGGTTGGTATTGTGGAAATTCCACCTACCTACCTAATTACCTACCTACATTTATTTCGATGTTGATTTTTGATTTGGAGGTATTTTCCCTCTACATTGTCTTCAATTCCTTGGAAATAATTCTTTGCACAAATACTGTAAATCTTGAGCAGTCTAATGTTTTTTTCTTATCTGTGTTTTTGGTGTCATCCAAAAATGAATGTGGCATGAAGTTTTCTCTTTCTTTCTAAGAGTTTTAGTTGGCTTCTATTTTGATTTTTTTTTGAGATTTATTAACGTATTGTACATGGTCTAAGTAATGGACCAGTTTTGTGAATTTTTTTTCCTTTAGGTCATCTTTATTTTTGTTAACCATATGTGAAAGAAAGCACAGGACCCAGATGTATTATTTTACTCAACATGATTTCCTCTAGTTCATCCATTTTCCTATAATTAACAGGATCCCATTCTTTATGCTAGAATATACTCTCTGTATATCATATTCTTTATCCATTTATTTATTTATTTCTCTGTTAAGGACTTTTGGAGCTGTCTTTTGTTGTTTATTTTTTGAGAAAGGGTCTCTCTGTAGTCCTGGCTGTCCTCAAGTTTGATACACAGACCATGCTGGTCTCCAACAACTCACTGAGATCCTCCTTACTCTGCCTCCCAGTGTTGGTGTTAAAGGCCTGTGGCACCAAGCAAAGCATGGATTTGTCTTTTTAAAGATTACTATAAGTTGCCGGTAAGGCATTTATATATATTCAGGATTAAAAAAGAGAGTTTGGAAATGTTCCCCTTTTCATTATTTTTGGTTTTTGGTTATTTTGAAATGCTATAGAATTCATGAGTAAAGTTATCTGCCCTAATCTTATTTTTTGCTGAGATGTTTCTGATTACTGACTTCTGGCTTAATCAACTTGCCTATTTTAGATCTACTCAGATTTCATGTTTTTCCTTTGTGTGAATTTTAAGGATTTTTTTTTCATTTCATCTTTGTTATCCAGTTTGGCATATAATGAATTGTCCATGGTAGTCTTTGAAAATTCTATTTCTGTAAAGTTAATAGTTACATCCCCATTTTTAGTAATTTGAGGCTTTTTTCTCCCCAAAGAATTGGTCTTTGCTTTTGTTTTTCTATTTTAATGTTATTTATTTCTACATTTTTTTTAAAAATTTCCTTCCATTATGAATTTAGGCTTAGTTTGTCCCCTTTTTTATGTTGCTGTTTCTTTGTCCTTATTTATTTAAAAGGTTTGATTGTTGTTACTTGTTTTAATAGATGAAGTCTCATGTAGCCTAGGCTGGCCTCAAGCCATATTACATATAGTAATAAAACATTCCCATATCCTTTAAACCTGAATTGTCTTTAACAAGGAATTTAAATTAAATTAATGGGAAGATAGGCAGTCACTAAAGCTAAGTCTCATGATACATAGCTTTTGCTTATTCTGACAACAGAGGTAGAGTAAAATTGAGAATGAAGGTCTTCCATTCACAAAGCCCTGGGATGATTTTATGAATTATTCTTTTTGGTTTTTTGAGACAGGGTTTCTCTGTGTAGTTTGGTGCTTGTCCTGGATCTGGATCTGTAGACCAGGCTGGCCTCGAACTCACAGAGATCTGCCTGCCTCCGCCTCCCGAGTGCTGGGATTAAAGGTGTGTACCACCACTGCCTGGCATGAATTCTTAATTAGTGGGAATCTTCAAGTTTATTTGTGTATAGCCACTGTATTACCAATTACAAGGCCCTGGTGCAGGATCTCTTGCCTTCTCATTATAGGTTCTGGGATTACAAATGGGTGCTTCTGCCCCTGGTTTATGTCATGATAGGGATCTGAACGCAGGATTTTGTGCATTCTAGGCAAACAGTCTGCCAACTGAGCTACATCTTCATACCTCTTTCTGTTTTAAAAAAACTTAAATTTATAACCAGACATGATAGTTTACACCTGTAATCTTAGCACTTGGAAGGATAAGGCAGGAGGATTGCCACAAGTTCAAGGCTACATATTGAGTACCTGGCCAGCTAGGACTACATAATAAGGCCCTATCTCAAACATAAAACCCAAGTCCCTCCTAAATTAGCTTAAAAAAATGAAAACCATGCGATCCAAAAATTAAGCATATGATAAATGGTGAACACATTCTCTACCCTGTCACCCATTAGTCGAAGTGATAGTTACATTTATGTTCTCTATCCTAGTAGCTCTTTGTACTTTATGGTTTTAAGCCAGGTTTATAAGATTTACACAGCCAGGGGCTGGGGTGATGGCTCAGATGAAAAAATGGTTGCTGCACAAGCATGCAAGCATTAGGACCTGAGTTTGAGCACCCGTGTAAGAAGCTGTGTGTGGTGGTACATGTCTGTCATCCTAGCAGTGGAGAAGTAGACAGCAGGATCTCTGAACTTGCTAGCCAGTCAGTCTAGTCAAATCGATGAGCTCCAGGTGAAGCAAGAGATTCTGTCTTAAAAATTAAGGTGGAAAGTGTTGGAGAGGTGACTCAGTGGTCAAGAGTGCTTCTTGTTCTTCCAGAAGACTTGAGTTTGTTCTTAGCACCCACTTTGAGCAGCTCACAGCTGCCTGTAATTCCAGCTCCAGGGGATCTAATGCCCTCTCTTGGCCTCTGTGGATATCTACACACATGTGGCATGTACTTAGTACACGTACACATAAATAAAATAAAACTAAACCTTAATTTAAAAAAATAAGGTAAAGAGCTGTCTTAGGGTTTCTGTTGCTGTGAGAGACACCATGAACATGGCAACTCTTACAAAGGAAAACATTTAACTGGGGTGGTTTACATTTTCAGAGGTTTAGTCCATTATCATCATGGTGAGGACATGGCAGCATGAAGGCAGACATGGTGCTGGAGCTGAGAGTCCTACATCTTGATTGCAGGAAGTGAACTCAGTCACTGGGTATGGCTTGAGCATAGATGAGACCTCAAAGCATGCCACCACAGTGTCACACTACTACCTCCAACAAGGCCATACCTCCTAACAGTATCCCTCTCCATGAGCTTATGGGGGCTGATTACATTCAAACAAGAGCCATTGAGGAATAAATGCATGTTGCTTTCTGGCCTCTGTGCACATGTGCATGCATGCCTATATATGTGTATACTCATGAATGTGCATACACACATACATAAATATGTATATCTGTTGTCTCTTTAGGTAGCATCCTCTGAAAATAACATTGCCATCTATAAACCACTTTAACTTCTGTCATGTCTACAAATCTACCTAGAGTTTATGCTCTCTATTTTTTCCCCCTTGGCTTGGTCCACTGATCTCTTTCATCTCTAAGATCTCCAGATTTCTTGAGAATTAGTAATGCTACCTTTTGTGTACGTAATCTCATCTCCATGTATTCAAGAATTTTGTTCTATTTTTTTTCTTTTATTAGCTCTGCCTTCTCTCTTTTTGGCTTCAGCATAGGTAGGCATTATGTTAGGTATTTAGAGAATTTTAATTGGAGCTGGATGTGGTGGGGTGGTGTATGCCTGCTATAAACCAGTACTTGAGGCTGAGACAGGAGGATTGCCATGATTTGAGACTAGATTGGGTTACAGAGTGAGAGCCTTTCTAAAAACAATAACAAATGAACAAAAATAGTTGAATGTAGCAGAGCATTGGCTCTTGAGTTTAGAGGCTGTGTATTCAATACTGTATACTTGGACAAACTAGCTTCTCTAAGTTACAATTTTTGAGAGAGAGAGGGGGAGAGTGTTTGCTTGTGTGTGTGTGTGTGTGTGTGTGTGTGTGTGTGTAAATTTTATTATATTATGTGTATGTCTGCACCATGTATATTCCTAGTGCCCATGGAGGCCAGAAGAAACCATCTGATTCCCTGGAGTTACAGATGGTCATGAACAAACACGTGGGTGCTGAGAATTGGACCTAGATCCTCTGGAAAAACCGTCTGTAAATTGCTGAACCACCTCTCCAATGCCTAAGCTACAGTTCCTTCCTTATTGGGGGGTTGGAGGTGGCTTAGAGACAGGGTTTCTCTCTGTAGCCCTGGCTGTCCTGGAACTTGCTCTGTAGACCAAACTGGCCTTGAATTTAGTGATTTGCCTGCCCCTGCCTCTGAGTGCTGAGATTAAAGGTGTGCACTACCACTGCCTGGCCTTTCTTTATATATAAAGATAGGGTTTTAGTGTGTAGTTCTAGCTGGCCTGGAACTCTATGTAAAAGCAGGTTGGTCTGGAACTCCACCTGCTTTTGTTTGGAATTAAAGGCCTGTACAATGTCTGGCTTGCAATTTCTTAATTATTAACATAGGATACAAATTATACCTAGATTAAAGGTTGTTTGGGAGATGATTGAACAGAGAAGTGGATTATATGGGTTTCCTATGGCTGCTGCAACAAACTACAATAAACTTGGTAGCTTAAAACAACAGAAATTTAACCTGATAGTTTTGGGGCCCAGAAATGTGGAATCCATTTCACTGGGATCAGATTAAGGTGTCAGCAGTACCATACTTCTTAGGACCTGACAACTTTCTTAAACTGTATGGTTGTGAAAAATTTGTTAACAGTTAAATGAATGTTTCTGAGTGTCCAAAGACCAAATTAACAGTGAGTTCCAGGTTCAGTGAAAGATTCCATCTCAAAACAAAAACAAAAACAAAAAAAAAACAAAAACAAAAAAACAACAAATAGATGGAGAACAATAGAGGAAGATACCTAATGTTGACTCTTTACTTTCATATTATCTGTTAGTTTTGGATTTCTGTTGACACTGTTTACATTTTGGGTAAACTTTATAGAGTAAATAGTGTATCTCTAGAAAGAAAGTGGGAGTATATAATACACATGATTATTGAGGATTGGCTGTTTTCCTTGTTCCCATGCATGTAGCTATATGGATATGTAAATAATGGAATGTTCAAGACCACAGAAGATATTACAGCAGTCTTAAAACAGAAAATAAGTGCATCTTTAAAAATCAAGTCATATACTTACATATATATTTCATTTCCCTGAACAGGTTCTTTGGCATGGACACAAGTTCAGTGGGAACATTAGAATTGACTGATCAAACTCCTGTTTTATTAGGAAGTACAGCCATGGCAACTAGTCTCACGAACGTAGGAAATTCATTTAGTGGCCCACCAAATCCTTTAGTGTCTAGATCTAGTAAGTTTCAGAATTCATCAATGGAAGATGATGATGATGTTGTTTTTATTGAACCTGTGCAACCTCCTCCATCTTCTGCGCCTTCGGTTGCCGATCAAAGAAGCGTAACATTTACATCTTCAAAAAATGAAGAACTACAAGGAAATGATCCCAAAGTCCTTCCTTCATCGAAAGAGTTGGCTTCTCAGAAGGGCAGTGTAAGTGAGACAATTGTCATTGATGATGAAGAGGACATGGAGACAAATCACGGGCAAGAGAAGAATTCCTCAACTTTTATTGAAAGGAGACCTTCTGAAACTAAAAACAGAACGAATGATGTGGATTTCTCCACTTCCACTTTTTCAAGAAGTAAGGTAAACACAGCAATGGGTAACAGTGGTATTACCACAGAACCAGACTCTGAAATTCAGATTGCTAATGTTACAACCTTAGAAACAGGCGTAAGCTCTGTGAGTGATGGCCAACTAGAAAATACTGACGGGAGAGACATGAACTTAATGATTACTCATGTGACATCACTGCATAATACCAACCTGGGAGATGTCTCGAACGGACTTCAGTCAAGTAACTTTGGTGTTAATGTACAAACATACACCCCATCTTTAACTTCACAGACCAAGTCTGGAGTAGGACCTTTTAATCCTGGTAGGATGAATGTTGCAGGAGATGTATTTCAGAATGGCGAGTCTGCACCGCATCATAATCCTGGTAAGTAGTGATACTCTGCTTCATGCAAATGAATTTAATAATTTGTCTGATCCCTTTTTCATTATAATAAGAGGTGTTGCTTTGTTTAATATCTTCATATAGAAAAATGTTTTCATTCTGTTGACATTAAAGCTTGAAATTTTAATGAATGGTAAAACAATGTGTAGTATTTGTGAAGTAGAATATTAATAGCAGTATGATTTTATGTTTAGTGAACAAAAATAATGTGTAATTATAGCATCTTGCCATTGCTTTTTGCTAATATGCATTAATGTTTGAATATGTAAATTAAAAGAAAAAGAATAATATCCTGAAAAATGTTATATAATTGAACTTATATTCTCTTTTTCTGCATATTTTCCATATTTTTATTAAATAATTGACTAAGGTATCCTTTTATTTCTTATCTTTTGAAGAAAGCCAAATATATTATTTTTCATTTTTAAACTATTTTAAGGGATGATTGACAGGCACACATTTACTATATTCTACTCAATGACTTTGAGATCCTTGTGGTTTGTTTGCTTGTTATTATCTTTGTTCTTTTGAGCCAGGGTCTCACTGTGTATCCTTGACTGTCCTGGAACTTGCTATGTAAACCAGGCTGACCTTGAACTCACAGAGATCTGCTTGCCTTTGTCTCCAAAGTGCTGGGATTAAAGGTGTGTGACAGTCAGTACACTTGCCTTGTGTTTGGTTTTGATTGCTTATCTATGTTGTTTTTTTATTTTATTTTATTTTACTTTTTTTCAGTGTTTTCAATAAACATTTATTATCATTTTTGAAAGTTGGTATAGTTTTTGACTATTGGATCTTCCTTTCTGTGAGCTTCTTTGCTCATTGAAAAATAGTAAAATACAGAGATTGTAATAATTCTGGCCTTAGCTGGGTGTAGTGACACATACCTGTACTTCCAGCACTTGAGAGATGAAGGCAGAAAGATCAGGAATTCAAAGCCATCCTTTGCCATGTAGCACATTGACGGCATCTTATGCTATAGTGAGACACTATCTCAAAAAGCTCTCTCCCCAAACCAGGCAACATATAAAACTGGCCTTTTCACAACCATAATGGTATATGTTCCTCTGCTTTCATCTTTCTCTGCATGTAGATATATGCCTGTCTCTATCTCAGTTTCTCTCTCTGTCTGTCTCCACTTATTCAGTCTCATTAGCAACTTTAACACCCTGGGATTGTGAAGAATTAATTTGAGTTACTAAAATGTAGATGATGTGCACTGCACTTTGATATATATGCCAGTTATTTTTTTTTCAAAGATTTATTTATTATGCATGCAGTATTCTGCCTGTATGTATGCCTGCAGGCTAGAAGAGGGCACCAGATCTCATTACAGATGGTTGTGAGCCACCAAGTGGGTGCTGGGAATTGAACTCAGATCCTTTGGAAGAGCAGCCAGTGCTCTTAACCACTGAGCCATTTCTCCAGCCCCAGTTATTTCTTTTTTAAACTAATTTATTTATTCAATGTGTATGAGTTTGCCTGTGTGTATGTATCTGCACCATGAACTTGAGGCCAGAAGAGGTATAGAATTCTCAGAAACTGGAATTATAGATAGTTGTGAGCCCCCGTGTGGGTGCTGGGAATCAAACTTGGGTCCTCTGGAGGTACAGCCAGTTACTCTTAACCTGTAAGCCAACTCTCCAGCCTGTTACTTTTGTTTATTTACTTGAACATTAGTATCTGATTAGTGAAGAATGTTTGGAAAATGTATAAGGGGCATTTAAGAATGGGGGGTAGAGTCCCTTATACTAATTGAACATGATCATTGTCAATGCTATTGGTAATTATCATTAAATTCTGGTAGTTTTGTTTGTTTGTTTGTTTTTTTAAATTAAGCCTAATTGAAATGTAGCTTTGTATACTATCATTTTATTTTATTTTTATTATTTTTAAATTTACTTTATTATTTTGTGTCTATGAGTGTTTTGCCTGCATGTATGTCTATGCACCATGTGTGTGCCTGGTGCCCAAGGAGGTGGTGTGCTTCCATGTACATGCTAAGAATCGAACTGAGGTCCTTTGCAAGAACAAGCATTCTTAACCACTGAGCCTAATTCCAGCCTTAGGTTTTTTGTTTTTCCCTTTTAATGTTATACTTCTCACAACATTAACAGTTTCTGTATAATTTGTGGGGAGTAGTTGAGACATGGTCAGATCCCACTTCGTATCCTTGAACTCAACGGTGATCTTTCTGTTTCAGCTTTCTGAGTCTGGTATTACTGGGATGCACCATGGCACCTAATTCTGTTTATATGTGTTCATGACTGTCCAGTGGGGATTTGTGTCCATTTCTACCTATGCTTTTTTTCTATTTACTATATTTTGTTCATATTTCTGGTTACCTTCTTAGCATATATTTCTAGAGGTGAAGTTAGGACATAGGTTATCCCCATACTTTTTAGTTTGGAAAAAAATGGAGCTGGGTGTGGTGGTGCACACCTTAAATCCCAATACTTGGGAGGCAGAGGCAGGCAGATTTCTGAGTGTGAACCCAGCCTGGTCTATAGAGCGAGTTCCAGGACAACCAGGGCTGCACAAAGAAACCCTGTAGGAGTGGTGTCGGGGGGATAAGATTCTGAGTGCAGGCATCAAAGGTGTGTGCCGCCACCACCTGGCTGAAGAGATGTTTCTTCTTACTTATTTTAGAGATTTGTTTCAATACCTCTTCCCCATACATATGCATACATGTATATGTGTAAATACATACATGCATGAGTATTGTTATGTGTGTGTTTATATGAGCTTTGTGTGTGTGCTTGTCTTAGTCACTATTTTGTTGCTGTGAAGAGACCATGACCCAAACAACTCTTATAAAAGAAAGCATATAATTGCAGGCTTGCTTACAGTTTCAAAGGGTTGATTCAATATCATCATGGTGAGAGCTACATCCTGATCCACAGTCAGGGGAAGAGAGACTGGGCTTTGTGTGGGCTTTTGAAACCCAGTGACATACTTACTCCAACAAGGCCACACCTCCTAATCCCTCTCCAATAGTGCTACCTTCTGATGACCAAGCATTCAAATGTATGAACCTTTCCGGGGACATTCTTAATCAAACCACCACAGTGTTATGTACACATGCATGTAGAGGCCTGTTGTTGGACATGTTCCTCAACCACTCTTTTATTTTTGAGGCAAGGTTTCCAAGTGAACCTGGAACTCATGGATTTGACTAGGCTGGTTGACCAGCAAGCCCTAGGGATCCTCCTGGCTATGCTTCCCCAGTATTGGATTACAGGTGCACTTCATTGTACCTGTGGCTTTTTATTTTTTTTATTTTTTTTTAGTGTGTGTGCATTCTAGGTGATGACGTTTGGTTTTTATTCTTCCATGTAGAATTCTTTACCCAGACCTATTTCTTTTTTGAGACAGAGTTTTATGTAGCCCACACTTGGGTTCAGTATGTAACTAAGGATGACCTTGAACTTCTAATTGTTTTGCTTTTACAACTGAGTGCAGGGATTACAGGCTTGCACCACTACCATGCTCAGTTTAAAAATTTCTTTTTCCTCCTCCATAGTGTGTGTTAGGAAAAGCCTTAAATAAAAAATAAGAATTCTCATTTCCTCTCTATCTCACTTTCTCATTCTCACATATATTTGCACACATGCTGTCTTAGTTATTATATTGCTCTGATATAACACCAAGACCAAAAACAAGAAGAGGGAGAAAGGGTATTTTTCATCCTCCCTGTCCTGCTCACAGGCCTTCATGAATGGAAGGACAGAAACTTCAGACTGGAATGTGGGGGTAGGAGCTCATGCAGAGGTTATTTATGCTGTAGTGTTGGTTATTGGCTTACTCTCTCCTGACTTGGTCAGCCTGCATTCTTATAGCACCTCAGGACCACCTGTCCAAGGATGGCACCACTCATACAATGGGCTAGGCCCTCCCGTATCAGTCAGTAATTAAGACTTGCCTATAGGCAAATCTCCCCCCCCCCCCCCAAATCTTGCTCTGTAGACTAGGGTGGCCTTGAACTCATCACAGAGGTCTGCCTGGCTCTGCCTCCCAGTGCTGGGATTAAAGGCAAGTGCCACTGCCGTCTGGCACCTATAGGCAAATCATATGGAGGTATTTTCTCACTTGAGAGTCCTTTTTTCTCAAATAACTTGAGCTTGTTTGTCAAGTTAACATAAAATTAGCCAGGACACAGACAACCTTACAGGGGTTAGGTTCTCTTTCCTTCTGTCTTGTTGGACCCGGGGCTTGTTGAAACTTTACCTCTGAGCCATCTCACTTCCTCATGCTTAGGTTTTGCAGTGTTAGGAATATGCTGCTATACAGACTCTACTGAGCCATACCCCAGACTGAGCTTTTTTGTTTTTTGAGACAGGGTTTCTCTGTGTAATAGCCCTGGCTGTCTTGGAACTCACTCTGTAGACCAGGCTGGCCTCAAATTCAGAGATTCTCCTTTCTCTGCCTCCCCAGTTCTGGGATTAAAGGCGTGCACACCACTGGCCAGCCAGACTGAGCATTTTTGACTTTGGATATATATTTCCAAAACACAAGTTCATACTGCTAACATGTATATATTAACATATTTTTCTTTTTTCCCCCTCGAGACAGGGTTTCTTTGTATAAAAGCCCTGGCTGTCCTGGAACTTGGCTTTGTTGACCAAGCTGGCCTTGAACTCACAGAGATCTGCCTGCTTCTGCCTCCTGAGTGCTGGAATTAAAGTGTGCTCCACCACTGCCTGTCTTAGAATAGCTGTTTTTCTAATTATTATAAGTGTTTTAACTATTAGTATGAAGAAGCAAATAACAGCATTGATTATCACCATTAAGAAGAATCAGATACTTTAGCCAGGGCTATATAGTGAGACCCTGTCTCAAAAATAAAAGTGAATTAATTGATAGTATCTGTAATTCTGAGAGCATAGTGTAGGTACGGTTTTGACTCTACACTATGCCTTTAAATACTTAACATTTTTTTTTCTTTTTAAAAGATTTATTTTTATTTATGCCTTATGTGCCTGTCTGTTGTGTGCACGTGTGTGGGCAAGTGCCTGTAGAGATTAGAGGGGGTATCAGATCTTTTGGAGCTAACATTATAGGTAGTTGTGAACTACTTGACGTGGGTGCTGGGTACTGCAACTCCAGTCCTAGAAGAGCACCAAGTGCTCTTGATTGCTGAGCCATCCTTTAGCCCCCACAATAGTTCTTAAAGTTTGTCCATGTCAAGTGTATGTCTCAGAGTTCTTGATTCTCTCCTTAGTTTTGTTCTAGTTTTTTAAATTTAACTACTCTTAGTAATTTGTGCATTTATCTTGTTATACTTACTTCTTTAGGAATATTTATGGGTCATAAAAATTATGTACTATCTGTATACTACTTAATAATAATTATATAAAGGAATATAAAGTTCACTTAAGAAAAACATAGAGCTGGCAAGATAGCTCAGTGAATGAATATCCATGCTACCAAGCCTGACCACTTGAGGTCCATCCAAGGAATTCACATGGTGGAAGAGAGCTGACTCCCAGAATGAGAGCTGATTTCCTCAAACTGTTAAAAAACAAAACAAAACAAAACACCCAAAATAATCAGACTGATTGATGCAGTTTTTAATTAGCTCTTGCATTTTGGGGGTGTTTACATTTGTAATCGAGAATAGTAGATTAAGAGAAAGAAAATTTACCTGGGTATCATGGTGCTGATCTGTATTCTTAGGCATGAGGGGTCAGCAATTCATTGCCATTTTCAGGTACATAGAGAGTTTGAGGCCACCCTGACTGAAAAAGAATGTTATAAAATCTTGCTGTTGATACCAGTTCTTCTACTGGTGTTATTTGGAAAAATGTAACTGTTAATCCTTTTATTTGTTTATATAAAACTGAGGGCTTAGATAAATGATTACCATTCCTGCCTATTCCTAAACTGTTCTTAAATATGGGAGGAAGTGAAAACCTGGAAGTAGGGGAAATGGAAGAGCTGATATGTAAAGAAAGTCATACATTATTTCTACAGGCATGAAGCCAAATAAAATCTTAAAGCACCATTTCCCCCAAGTAAGTATCATCAAAAGATGATCCCACGAAAATGAAAGTCTTAGTGATCCAGTATTTGTATTAAAAACAAACAAAACAATTCTTGTTGTTTTTGGAGACAGGATCTCACGTATTGCTGGCTGGCCTGGAACTCTTGATTTACCTGCCTCTGCCTCCTGAAACTCAGATTAAAAATGTGTTCCACGATACCTTTCTTAAAAATCCTCTAGTTTAAGCATACTATGTGTAAGCATTTTGACCTTATTTATTTGTATGTTTGTCCATCCATCTATCTATCTATCCATCTATCCATCCATCCATCAATTTTTTGAGACAAGGTTTCTCTGTGTAGCCCTGGTTGTCCTGGATCTCACTCCAGGGAATCAGACAGTTTCTTCTGGCCTTGGACTCAGACATCTGAAAGACATGCACCATTACTACCCAGTGATTTTGGCCTTTTAAAAGATTTGTATTTGTGTCTGTGTGTCTCTGTAAATGTAGGGGTGCCTGAAGAGGTCAGAAGAGGGTTTCTGATCCTATGAGCTGGTGCTACATGGAGTTGTGAGCTTCTTGACATGGGTGCTGATAACAGAACTTGGTTCATCTGGAAGAGCAGAAAGTGCCCCTAATTACCTAGCAATGTGTTCAGCCTCATATATATATTAAACTGTTTTTAACCATTTATTAAAATTGATCAGTTAAAATTGATGCTAGCAAGAAAACAGTTCCAGAATGTACTGTTTATTTTATGTGTGTGTGTATTTTATTTGAGACAGTCTGTTCTATGTGTTCATCTCTTCTGTGTGTTCATATGTATTCATCTCAAATTAGCTTGCCTCCAGTGATCTATTTACTTGAGACTGCACATCCTAAAAGCTCTATAATTTCCCTAAGCAGTTATACCCGCTGGGGATCAAGTCTTTAAATACATGAGGGACATTGCTCATTCACATCACCCATTACTCAAGGTTTCACATAGCCCCAGCTGGCCTCAAAATAACTATACAGCCAATAATATCTTTGAATTTTAAAGAAATTTTTCTTTTATGTATCAGTTTTTACTTACACATATGTATATGCACCACGTGCATGCCTTCATGGTATGGAGACCAGGAGGTGGCAGATTCCCTAGAACTGGAGTTACTGATGGTTGTTAGCCACCATGTGGATACTGGGACTTGAACCCTAGTCCTCTGTAACAGGAGTATTTTTAACTGCTGAGCCATCTTTACAGCTCCATAACTTGGAACTTTTGGTTCTTCTGTCCCCTCTTCCAAGTGCTGGGATTATAGAATTGTGTTACTGTGCCTATTTTTTTGTGGTGCTGAGGACTGAGCCTAGGCTTGGCTTGTACTCTACCTGTTGAGCCACACCACCATCTTTCATTCTTTTTTAAGTTGAAGAAAGAGCATTAATATAGTCAGGCAATAATACAAAATCTGACTGAAAGTATGCAATTGCTTGAAACCATGAGGCTGATTCTTAAATGTTTTTTTAGGTAAAGAAGTTTTTCAAGATTTGGTAACATGCCTGGCTATTTGTTGGTTTTTCAAGACAAGGTTTCTCTGTCTGCACTTCCTGTCTCATAACCAATGACATTTTTTAGTGCTTTCTGTATGCTAGCCACTGTGCTAGCTTTTTACATGTGTTATCACATTTAATGTTTGGTACTAGTTCTAGTGTCAACAAGAGAGAAACACATTTTTCTAAGGAGTACACCAATCTTAGAAGTGGTCTTACTTACTGCTTTGTTATATGTATGTGCATGCGTGTTTGTGTAGGGTACATGTGCATTCCTTTGGATGCCAGAGATTAATCCTGAGTTTGAGACAAAGTCTCTAATTTGCCTGGAGCTCACTAAGTTGGCTAGGCTGGCTGGCCAGTGAGCCCTAGGGATCTGTCTTTGCCTCCTTCTGGGATTATGAGTGTGTGTATCAATCATACTTGGCTTGCTTTTTCTTCTTTAAAAATACTTACTATATATACAGTGTTCTGCCTGAATGTATGCCTGTAGACCAGAAGAGGGCACCAGGTCTCATAGATGGTTGTGAACCATCTATGCAACCATATAGTTGCTGAGAATTGAACTCAGGACCTCTGAAAGAGCCATCTCTCCACTCCATTGGCTTGCTTTAAAAACAAACAAACAAACAAACCAAAACCAAAACCAAAACCAAAACCAAAAAAACAAAACAAACCAAGCAAACAAAATAAAAATAAAAACATTGAGTTCTATTGAATTCAGACCCTCATGCTTGTGCAGCAAGTACATTACCAAGTGAGCTATTGTCCAGCTCCATTCCTTTTTTATTTTTATTTATTTATATATTTTTTTTTTTTGGTTTTTCAAGACAGGGTTTCTCTGTGTAGCTTTGCGCCTTTCCTGGAACTCACTCTGTAGCCCAGGCTGGTCTTGAACTCACAGAGATCCGCCTGGCTCTACCTCCCTAGTGCTGGGATTAAAGGCGTGCGCCACCACCGCCCGGCTAATTTTTTAATTATATATATACAGTATGTGGGGAGAGTCACATGTATGTCATGTACTTTTATTTAAACCGACAAACAGAAATAATATGCTTTTATCATGTAGAACATATTGATTAGAAATATATATATAAATATATATATATATATTTATATATATTGGAATGACTAAATCAAGCCAATCATATATTATGCCATGTGCTTTCTTTCTTTTTATGAGAACACTTGAAATCTACTGTCTTGCCATTTTTAAGACTATAATGTATTGTTTCTAGAAAGCAGACAATCTTACCCGCAGACACTGTAATTCTGCAAAATTGCTGCTTCATTAGCATCTGAGACAAGGTCTTACTTTAGAGCTCAGGCTGGTCTTAAATTCATGGCAATCCTTCAGTTTCTTTTCTTTTTCTTTTTTTCTTTTTTTTGGTTTTTCGAGACAGGGTTTCTCTGTGTAGCTTTGCGCCTTTCCTGGAGCTCACTTGGTAGCCCAGGCTGGCCTCGAACTCACAGAGATCCGCCTGGCTCTGCCTCCCGAGTGCTGGGATTAAAGGCGTGCGCCACCAACACCCGGCCAGTCCTTCAGTTTCTTAAGTGTTGGGATTATAGGCATGAGCCACCATGTGTGGCTTTAATCAGTATTATAAACTTTGGCAAACTGGGAAATTAAAACTATTGCTTTGATAATTTCTATGTCTTTAAATATCTATTTATATTATTATTTTCTCTATGTTTTGTTTTTAAGATTCTTGGATCTCCCAGTCAGCATCATTTCCTCGTAACCAGAAACAACAAGGGGTGGATTCTTTATCACCAGTGGCCTCACTTCCTAAACAGATATTCCAGCCTTCTGCCCAACAACAACCCACTAAACCAGTTAAAGTCACTTGTGCAAACTGCAAAAAACCTCTACAGAAGGGGCAGACAGCTTATCAACGAAAAGGATCAGCTCACCTCTTTTGTTCAACCACCTGCCTTTCTTCATTCTCTCATAAACCTGCTCCAAAGAAACTCTGTGTTATGTGTAAAAAGTAAGATTAACCTTCTATACAGTTCCATGTGGCTGAATAATAATCATAAAAGTATTTAGAAGTTTTATTGAGAGACTCTTAGAGATGAATTCATGTTTTAAAAATTGGTAAGCTACTTTGAATCTTGGAAGCTATAGATTGAGCTTCCTATTTGGTAGGTTTTGGGTAATTTGTTTAGACCCTTGTAATTATTTTGACTCTCTTCTCCAATGGACCCCTTGAATTTGTAAAAATGTGAATTTTATTTTGTTTTACTTTTTTTTTCTTTTTATAGTGCTAGGGATTAAGCCCATAGCCTCCCTCATAGAGGCACTCTACTACTAAATGCACTATTAACTGTAAGAATATAGCTTAATGTTAGACAGTTAATTTACTTACATTTATGATATAGAATGTATATATGGTACAAGGTCTTACTTTAGAATATATATGGTACATTCTGTATTAAAATAAGCTGCATTTTACACTGTTTTTGGACTGTGGTTATCTTCAATTTGACAAATCTCTGGGTTTTGTGTGAATATTTGTTTTGAGTGTTGTCAAAGTTTATAGTTTTATGACCTAGGTTAGCCCCCCCCCCCCTTTTTTTTTTGCTATTCTTGGGCATACAGTTTATATCCTGTTTTAGAACTGTTCTCAATGATTGCAAACAAAACTGGATGATACAATGTATTGCAGGGTCAAATGGATTTTCTGTACTCTCTAGGAGCTGCCCAAGTCTGAAGCTATTTTTAGGTATTAGACATCTGGGAAGGACTTAGTGCTTTATTCTTGTAGTAAATCCAAGCACAGAAACAATTGTTCTATAGTGTATAGATTATTTTACAATACACTTAAATACTGTAAGAGAGTCTAGATATTTGGTATTTCTTTAAATTCAATAGTGTCATATTATATTTTAGGTGGTTTTTTTTTTTTT